GCGGCGGGCGCGGGGCGATGCCGCCGGCCGCTCTCTCCGCAGGGCGCCGCGGAGAAGGCGCCGGCGAGCGGCAGCCGCGGCCAGGAGCCCCCGGCTGGCGGCTGCCTGGGCGAAGGCGACAAGGCCGCGGTGCTCACGCTCATCCGCGAGGAGGTAGCGGCGCCCGGCGCCCCCGGCGCGCTCCACATCCCGGCGCTCCACATCCCGGCGCGCTCCCCATCCCGGCACTCCGCATCCTGGCGGGCTCCGCATCCCAGTGCGGGCTCTGCATCCCAGTGCGCTCCGCATCCCAGTGCTCCCCATCCCAGTGCGTTCCCCATCCCAGCGCGCTCCACATCCCGGTGCGCTCCACATCCCGTTGTTCCCCATCCCAGTGCACTCCCCATCCAGGCGCTCCACATCCCGGCGCGCTCCCCATCCCGGCACTCCGCATCCTGGCGGGCTCCGCATCCCAGTGCGGGCTCTGCATCCCAGGCACTCCCCATCCCGGCACGCTCCCCATCCCAGTGCGCTCCCCACCCCAGCGTGCTCCACATCCTGGCACTCCGCATCCCGGCGCGCTCCACATCCTGGCGCGCTCCGCATCCCGGTGTTCCCCATCCCAGTGCGCTCCCCATCCCAGCACTCCCCATCCTGGCGCGCTCCGCATCCCGGTGTTCCCCATCCCAGTGCGCTCCCCATCCCAGTGTGCTCCCCATCCCAGTGCGCTCTGCATCCCAGTGTTCCCCATCACAGTGCACTCCACATCCCAGTGCTCCACATCCCAGCGTGCCCTGTGCCCTGGCGCTCCGCATCCTGGTGCACTCCCCATCCCAGTGTGCTCCGCATTGCAGTGCACTCTGCATCCCAGTACTCCGCATCCCGGTGGGCTCCACATCCCAGTGCGTTCCGCATCCCGGGGCACTCCCCATCCTGGCACGCTCCCCACCCCAGTGTGCTCCACATCCCGGCACTCCGCATCCCGGCGCGCTCCACATTCCAGTGCGCTCCGCATCCTGGCGCTCCGCATCCCGGTGTACTCCGCATCCCGGCACTCCACGTCCCAGGGCGCTCCATGTCCCCTCGCCCCATGCCACCCCGCGTGCAGGGATACACGGGGAACCAAGGGGACGCTCCGAGCCCCTGCGCAGGGTCCTGCACCTGCCTCCCCTTAGATCCTCACCAAGGAGCTGGAAGCGGGCGAGTGGAAGCGGAAATACGAGGAGAGCCGGCAGGAGGTGCTGGAGATGAGGTAGGGAGCGTGCCGGGGGGCGGCCGAGCCCGCCGCGCTCCCGCTCACCCGTGCTGCCCTCGCTGCGTGCAGGAGGATCGTGGCCGAGTACGAGAGGACCATCGCGCAGATGATCGGTAAGGGGCGCGCGCCCGGGCGCGCCGCGCGCGGCCCCCGCGTCCGACGGCCCCGGCCTTCCCCCCGCCAGAGGACGAGCAGAGGTCCACCATGACGTCGCAGAAGAACCTGCAGCAGCTCAGCATGGAGAAGGAGCAGGCGCTGGCCGACCTCAACTCCGTGGAGAGGTCCCTCTCGGACCTCTTCAGGAGATACGAGAACCTCAAGGGCGTCCTGGAAGGCTTTAAGAAGGTGCCCGTGGGTGCCCCCCGCGCGCCCCGTCCCGCGCCAGCGCTCGCTCCCGCCCAGCGCCGCGTGCTCTGTCTTCCAGAACGAAGAGGCCTTGAAGAAGTGCGCCCAGGACTACCTCGCGCGGGTGAGGCAGGAGGAGCAGCGCTACCAGGCCCTCAAGGTCCACGCGGAGGAGAAGCTGGACAAGTAAGCATCCCGCTCGGATCCCGCGGGGAGGAGGCTCCTCGGGCCTCCCCTCCGTGGGGGCTGCTCCTGCAAGGGAAAAGTTCCTGGGAGGCTCCTGGCTTGGGAAAAGCTGCTGTTTCCAACCCGAGACGCGGGTTTAAGTGGATCCCGTTAAGCCAGCACAAATGCCCACGCGGGTTCCCTCCTCCTCCGCTCGCCTTTTCCCGAGGCGCACGTGCGGGGAGCGCCGCAGGGTTTCCCACGCTCGCGGTGCCGGGACCAGGGTGGGTGCCGGGAGCCGGGCGCCAGCGTCCGAGCGCTGCCCCGTCCCCTGCCAGGGCCAACGAGGAGATCGCGCAAGTGCGCGCCAAGGCCAAGGCCGAGAGCGCCGCGCTGCACGCCGGCCTCCGCAAGGAGCAGATGAAGGTGGAGTCGCTGGAGAGAGCCCTGCAGCAGAAGGTAAAGCCCCCGGCGTGCTCCCTCTGCCACCTCCCTGCCGTTTCGGGGCCAGAAAGCCCTTTTCCACGCGCGCTTCCGTGCTCCGGAGAGGCCGGAGCGCACGGGCAAGCGCTGGCCTCCGATGGAGGCCCTGATGCAGCGCAGGGAGCCGGGCTGCACCGGGGGGGACACGTCCGGGTGGGGGGTCCCGCTCCGGGCGCCTCCAGCTCCTCTCCTCCCCCAGAACCAGGAGATCGAGGAGCTCACCAAGATCTGCGACGAGCTCATAGCCAAGCTGGGGAGGACGGAGTGAGGCCGGGCCTCTCCGTGCGGCGCCGCCGCCCTCGCCCCTTGCCTTAGCGCCCGCCTCGCGGCCCCCTCGTGCCCGCCTCGCTTTCCCTGCCCCGCGGCCCCTCGCTCCGCACGGGGCGCGCGGGCGGAGCGACCCGCCGGCGCCGGGATTTCGGGCATGGATTCGCGTGCCGAGGCGCGGGAAGGCAGTGCCGCGCCGGGGCTGATTCGCTCTCCGCGCCGTTGCCTACCCAGCCGCGCCGATTCGCCAGCCTTGTTTTGCTGCTCTCCTTTTGTAACAGAACGGGGCCCTTTCCCCTCCGTCCCCTCGCTGCCCGCGCTGAGCATGCAGTGCAGACACCTGAAAGCAGAGCCATGCACCCATAGCTATTTTCTTAGGTTTATTATGTATAGAGAGACTTTATTGCGCACCGCAGCGGCGGGAGCCCCTCGTGCCCAGTTTGGGAGGGGAGCAGAGTGGCACTTTACCCTTGTCCCCCGGTGTCCCCTTCCCCACCACCCTCGCACTCCCAACCCGGGCCAAGAAGATTCCTAAGGAATGATTTCTTAACTATAATATGGTTATAGCTACCTATAAAAAAAAACAAATAAAGAGATATAAAGGTTATAGTTCTATACAATAGAAGGCGAGTTGGTTGCAGCTTTGCACGGGTGTTTTGCAAGCGCGTGCCCGCCCCACGAAGTGCCCACGAGCAGCCCCGCGTCGACTACTGCCAGCACCGCTTTGCACCCTCCGCGCGCCCGCCGCCCACGCGCGTTTTCTATGTACGATAAGTTCCCTTTTGTATGTCGGGTAAATATTTGTAAGAGCCACACTCACACAAAGGAGATTATTATAATGATTACTAATATATTTTTTTTCCCGCCTTCCATCTTTCATTGCCGGAATAAAAGTCGTGTTTACCACTCTGGAAGGATTCTGGGTGTTTATTAGCGGCTTGGCAGTGAGTTTGAGATCAGCCACTTTTACCTGCTGCTGAAGTCCCAATTCTGCCTCATTTTCATGAATAGAGGTTGATAATTTGGGGATTTCATAGGCGCGCGAGTAGCATCCGCCCCTGCTTTTCTAGATGCAGAAACGCAGCCCCCCGAATGACTTTGACCGTCCTCTTAATTCCCGGCTCACTTAAATGCTGCGCGGGGCAGATTTCCCTAAGCTGCAGCCCAGGCAGAGCCGGGTGCCAGCAAGCGAGCGGGGCCGCGCCGGGGAGCAGCCCCCATCCCTGCCATTTGGGGACACGGGGGGTTATTTCCCCGCCTGCACTGCTACAGGGTAAAAACGGGGTGATTTTCCCCCTGCAGAGTCACCCGTGGGGCTGGCGAGAGCCACGGCGGGGTCACCCGGTGCGGCGGGGCCGGCCCGTGTCCTTGGGGCGCTGCTAAGAGGGCATTAGCCGGGGCGAGGGGGGGGCGGCCCGGGCGCGTTATCCCCGTCCCCGCTCCAATCGCCCCGGGAGATTAGCCCTAAAGCCTTAAGACAAAGCAGCGGGCGCGGGGCCGGTGCCGCGCACACCGCTCACCATGCCCGCCCTGCGCGCCCTCCTGGCCCTGGCCGTCCTCTCCTCCCTGGCTGCGCACGGTGAGTGGCACGAGGGCGGTGGGGATGGCACCCGGATCCACCGGGAGCTGCCCATGTCCTTTGGGTACCCTGGGACTTGTGCAGCCCCTTGCACCCCCTTCCTGACCCCTTGCATCCCCCGGCACCCCCTTGTACCCCCATTGCATCCCCTGGCCGCTCCTTGCAACTTTTTGCCCCCCATTGTGCCCTCTTGGAACCTCTTGCACCCCCTTGGGCCCCCTGAGACCCCCCGTTGGCCGCTTTGCAGCCCCTGGCACCCAGCTCACTGCACAGAGCCACCAAGACGTGCCCTGAAGGTGCCCCTCGGTGGGTGCCACCGCAAGGGGAGGCCACGCACGTGGGCGAGCGCCAGTTCCCTGCACCGGGGCGCTGCCAACCTCGCTTTGCACCCAGTGCGATCACTCACGGTGGCCCCCAAGTGTCCCGTAGCCCCTGGGGTCCCTCCCTGCCCCTAGGACAGACGTAGCGGTGGCCACGTCGCCGGGAGCTGCTTGCCACGAGAGGGCTCTGCAATCTCCACCCGCGGAGGTTCCCCCGGCGCTTGCTCACCGCAGGCTGAGGCCGGAGCCTCCAATTTATTTAGTCTCAATTATTTTTCCCCGCGGTGTTTCTCCCTGTTTGGACCCGGTGGGAAACGCCAGGCCGGGCGGTTTGGGGGTGGCGCGGGCGGAGGCAGCAGCCGGCGCTCACCTTGCCCCCCGCGTCCCGCCGCGCGCAGGGGCAGCGCTGAGATGCCACAAGTGCGTGGCAGCCAGCGAGAGCGAGTGCGGCAAGCAGGGCTCGCACAGCTGCCCCCAGTACGCGGACGCCTGCGCCACCATCACCGCCCCCAGTAAGTCCTCGCGCGGCGCGGCGGGCCGGGCAAGGCGGCGGGCACCGCGGGCGACGCGCGCGCTTGTGCTTCCCTTGCAGACAGCGTCGTCAAGTCCTGCTCCTACAAGTCCTTCTGCGAGCAAGCGCGCGGCGCCGCGGCCGGC